TTGTTTTGGGAATTCAACCAGACAATTTATTCCGAGCATTTATTCGTTTTCTGGTGGATGCTGCTAATGTGGTTTTACACCAAGTACCGCGGCGACACCGAAAACAAATCAGACAGCCTATGGGTCGCGATCGTCGCGGGCCTGCTCGTTTACCTGGCCATTGGAACACGAACGGTCGGCATCGTTTTACCGCCGGCGATCTTACTGACAGAAACCATTACGTATCGCCGGCTCACGCGTTTTACCATTGTCAGTCTCGTCGCAGCGATTCTTTTTTACGCGATCCAGAAACTACTGTTGCCGCTTGGAGGATCAGGGTATCTCGATCAACTTTCGCAAATCAATGCCACGACGTTATCCTCGAACCTCTTTGCCGATTCGCTTTCGTTTTTATTCGTCTGGAAGAACGGCTACTACAAATACGTGGCCGCCGGAGCAGGCTTGGGCTTCAGCCTCATCGCGATCGGAGGCTTCATCAAAGAGAACTGGCCGCGACCAACTCTTCTCGCAATCGCCTCGATACTGCACTTAGTTCTTGTCGTTGTGTGGCCGGGTGCGAATGGCATTCGCATGATCTGGCCCCTACTGCCGGCGTTTCTTTACTGGCTGCTGTATGCGTGCGAGAACCTCCCGGTGTCGAAAATGTGGCGAACCAGCGGTATCGCTGCAGTGATTGGTTACTCCCTGCTTTGTTTTGCCGGCGAATATGTGACGGCCAAATATGGCCCGATTGCTGGCCCAGAAAGCCCCGCGTCACAAGCCCTCTTTGCGGAAGTGGAGCAAACGGTTCCAGATGATCAGGTCTGCTTGTTCTTCAAGCCTCGCGTTCTCGCTTTTTACACACTACGAAACTGCACCGGCTATCCGATTCCGCTCGACGAAGCTTCGCTGATGCGTACCATCGAGCAAGCCGACGTTGATGTTGTGATTACGACGAGCGATCAGCCTGAAGAACTTCCTGCGTGGCTGACCGAAGGCGGGTTTGCCGCCGCTTGGCAGAACGACGAATTTCAAATTTGGCGGAAGTAGCCGATCATACCGCCGGCTACGAGACGGAAGCCAACTGCCCCTGCTCTTCCAGCAAAACTTCTCGCACGATGTAGCGCAATCGCGGCTCGGCAGCTTGAGCGGCGTGAATGACGTCGTACTTGCCGACGCTGCCTAAGTTGTCCGGAAGACAGATATTCGTAACCGTCGAAAGCGCGAGCACGCGAAGCCCGACCTGCGATGCCACGATCGCTTCCGGTATGGTGCTCATACCAACGACATCGGCACCAATCTTCTTTAAGAAGCGGTACTCGCTTCGCGTTTCGTAATTGGGCCCCGTCATGGCGGCGTAAACGCCTCGATGATGTGTGATCCCTTCTCGGCGAGCGATACGTGCCGCGGTATCGATCAAGCCGCGATCGTAGGGGCTCGACATATCGGGGAAACGCTTGCCGAGGTTGGGATCGGCATGGCCGGTCAGCGGATTGCTCCACATGAAGTTGATGTGGTCTTCCATCAGCATGATGTCGCCGCTTTTGTAAAACGGATTCATGCCGCCGCTGGCATTGCTGACGACCAAAATGCTGGCCCCCAGCGCCTTCATCACACGAACCGGCAAGGTAATCGTCTCAAGCGAGTACCCTTCGTAAACATGAAAACGGCCCTCCATGACCAACACTGGGACAGTGCCCAGTCGTCCACATACGAGTCGCCCGTTATGGCTTAGGGCGGTAGAAGATGGAATATGCGGTAGGTCTTCGTAGTCGATCGTCACTTCGACGTCGA